ATGTCTCATGTCTTAGCTCCCTTAGCGCTGTGCTGTTTAGTTTTTTGCTCTTTCGACTAAGTTCTGAAAATTGGAACAAAATGGGGACGAGGGTAAAGGTCGATGCAAGACGAAATGTAAATAAGACCAGGCAGAGGAGATAGCAGCACTGTCAGCTCTGCCTGACTCCTCTGTGGCACCGCGCTGTCCTTTGGGTGGCAGGCTGAAAACAAGGGCATTGTTCTCCTCTGCCGATTTTTGACTTTTGTAATCTGGGGCAACGGTCCAAAGGGGGACTGACAGAGACTGCCTGTCTGTGAGATAAAACAGGGCTTTGGAGTGAAGGACTGCTGTAGTTCAATGCTGATTAGTGTAGAAAACACAAGAAATAATAGTGAATTGAAAAACAGCTGACTTTCACTCTCCTGCTCTTTCTCTGGAATCTGTGCTTGTCTCATGTGTGCTTCCTCTTTCTGCTGCTGTACCCCACTCTTATTTCTGAAATGTTCCCTCTGCCCATCTTGTCATACTCTTCTCAACACAAATAGGAGCACAGAACCCAGAAATGACTCATTCAGAACTCTCAACGTTATTTATGAAACTGGATCCCAATCATCCCAATCTGTCATTTTATATGACAGGCTTCTCCATTACAATCTTTGGATTGAACTAAAACCACCACTACTGCAGAGAACTACGTATTCACTTCTGTATTGTACTGCATGCATGTTCAAGCTTGCACATTTAGAGCGGTACAGCTCCATGCTTTTTAGTATTCGGTGACCTGGACTGCCGACCTTGCCCTTTTCAAAGAACGTTTGAATGTCGTTTATGGTGCTGAGTTTGTACAGAAGCACAACTAAGATCATTTTGGTTTGGATGCGAATATTCTTTTGTGTTTTTTCTCATATTCTTTTATACTTTTCTTCCTGCACTATTATCAAGAGTGACAGCATGTATAAAAATCTATTGGAGGCAAAGATTAGAATGTAAATTATACCCTTAGAAAATAGCTTATACCAAGGTTTTCATTTGTGAGGTGCTGCATGAGGTGTACTGCACTCTGTACATTGTCACATGTTGAATGAACTCCAGTTACTTAATGTTTAAAAAATAATCAGTTTGGTCCCTTAATTAGTAAAATTAGCATACTGTAACAGTTTGAGTTCCTGAGGATGAATGAGAGAAAAAATAAACATGGTTCAATCACAATATTGCATTAAAATGCATAATCAAAAGGCAAGTATTGGACTGATTAATTGCAAGTCTCTCATTTCTTTTAACTATTCAATTTTCTTCTTTCTGTTCTGAGAACGTCAGTTGTAAGTGAAGGGGTGTTAATCAAAATCTTGAAATTGTTTACTTAAATTAACTGTAAGAAGTCAGATTTCTACTAAACATACTTCATCACTCAGCGCATGCCTAATTATGGATTTTTTTTTTTCACCAAACAACAAACATTCTTGTTTGGCTTTCTAACAGCGACTGCTTCACTTGACTAGGTCCCTTCATCTGAGACTCACAAGGGATATAAACTGCAAAGAAGAAAGGTGTGTGGGTATCATGCATAACAAGACATTGTTGACAAGATTATTGTAAAAGAACATAAACCCCCTCTGAACAATACTGATATTTGATGAGCAAAAAATAAACATTTAGAGAGCAAAAGGTCACTTTACAAGTTAACAGCTTGAGATGGTGACAACAGACTGGTGAGTGGATTAAATAATTAAAATTAGACATTTGTTCATGCTGGCTTGACTGTACTAAGGCAAACTAGAAAAAAAAACAAATACTTATGTGTCAGTCAAAGGACAGATTGTTGTTTATTCATGCGCACGTTGCAAAGATCCATTTGTACCTCTGTCCTAATCATACTTCTCTCTTTAGATGCCTGTTTTAGAATAGACAGTGTTAATGTAAATCTATGTATCTGTATGCGTGAAAGGCTTTGTGTCTGTGTTGGTGCATTTAGAGCCGTGAGATCAGGTGTGTGTCTAATAGGTGCCTAACCTATTATATGCTTTAGCCTTGACTTTTTTTTTTTTTCTTGGTGTGTGAACCTTCAGGTTCCATCTGCTCATACGCCCTGCTGCTGGAGAGGGAATTGAACCATGGAGGAATTTGTCTGTCAGGTGTAAGGGTCGCAGAAGTCTGCAGCATCACTATACAGCAGACGGGCTAACTGACAGATGGGCAGGAAAGGAGGCGGGGAGGCAGAGCGACAGCCGGGCCGGCGATTACGCAATGATGCTGATGGAGGAGGAAGAGAGACAGGTGAAGGAAATAGTCAGCAAATCAAACAACCAAAGCAGACACACAGGGATGCGGATGAATATGCAATCTGACAAGGGGTCAAACTGATTTTCAGACAGGGACAAAAGAGAGTGCCGTATTAGAGGTGTTCCAACCAGGCGGATGGACAGACATGTGAAATCAGATGAGCCTGCAAGCAAGAAGACAGGAAGACGGCTGGTGTCTACCAGCGAGGACAGGCAAACGACACAACAGTAAGTTAGATAAAGATATTGAAAGTGGACGGACAGACAGACTGGCAGCCGAAAATGAAATCAATAAAGTTCAAATGTTAAAAACAGTGCTAACAATTTAATGAATGTTTTTAGGTTACGTTTTGATCATGCTTTGATTGACCTTTATGTAGAAAAATGGGCACCTCGTCACAGCGCCATTGGCATGTATTTTCCCAAAGTGACTTTACGGAAATTTGTTGATTCCTCCACACAGATGGGCCAAAGATCACACCGCAAATATCAAAATATAAGATAATTACGATTGGAAAGTGTCCACTGCTTACCAATTCTGAAGGAGAAAGGGAAGGAGCTGTGTGCAAGGCACTCGCAACACCAGCAACATCTCGGTTTGATGCAAAGCTGCTTTGCTTTTACACAAAGTAATGTGTGTACACACAAAATCGCTACATGTCTGCATTACAGCTGAGCTAACTGTGGAGGAACAAACTAAAAAGTTACAATGAAGAACATAGTAAAGAGGCAGGCCAGGTTGGAGAAGTAATGCTGTTATTTGTCATAATGCTCAATCACTAAAAAACACCATGTATTGTGATTAAAAAAAATGGTATTGGTTCTATTACTTTAGAGTAGATTGTGAAAATAATACAATAATATAAAAACAGAACTGTTGTGATGTTTATTTGACCAAGTGCACCCCCAGGACCTGTGGAGCACACAAAAGCCGGCTTTTTGATGTAATTACTTGATCTCTTTTTAGTATAGTAGGTCATAAAAGGGAAGGCTGAAATAAAACCAGTCTACTTAAAAATTCTGGCAAACCTTCCTTCTGCTAAAGTAAAAATTACAATACCCTGCATACACCACCACACCTCCCCCCCATAAATCTCCATACAGTCCGTTAAATGTCTTATGAGTGGCCCATGGGAGACGGATGGGATGGTGAAAATAAATTTATCAGGTGCAAACTTCCTCCAGCTCAATTCAAATGGCGAAGGTAATCTTCAACTTGTCGGTGATTAAACTGTCTTTTCATCAAGAGCTAGAATTAGAATTAACACTCTGACTCTTCAGCCTTTTTGAATGTCCTATGCAGCGGCTGCCCGATATCCTGTTGCTCCTTGCAGTGCAAAATGTAATGGCAAAAAGAAATAAAATAAGGAATTGCTTTTTTGGTACAACAACTATGATGGCTCCTTCAAAGATTCACGCTTTAATCTCACCTTGAATCCTTCTGTCAATGCAATTTTCTTACCTTTTTTGTCCACCCTCTGTTGTTTAATCTACAGTAAAATATCTTTCTGTTGTATTTGTAATAGCCTCGATTCTTTAAAGAGGTTGCAGCCCAAGCTGCCTCTTGAATCACTTCTTCACCTGTTCTTCTCCCGTTTTGACATCTTCCCTTCTCCTCCACATCTGCTCCTCTGTCTCCTCTCCTCACTCTCCATCTTCTCCCCTCCTTTCAATCCCTCCATTTCCATTTCCATATGTGCTCCTCTCTCCTCCTCTTTATCTCCTACAGGGCCCCTCTGGTAACCACCTCCTCTTCTTCCCCTGTCAAAATCTCCCCTCTCTGTCTCGCTCTCGCTCCTTTTTCCTTCCAGCCCCGTCTTTTGAGGTCATGCAGTATTCGATCGATCCGGGTCATTGATCTTCCTGGTAGGCGTGCCTCTCATTTCAAGACAGACCATTAGACAATCATTAATCTATATCAGACCATTAACCAATCATTAATCAGGGTCGCTAATTTAAACGGAGGCTTCTGATTGGGTCAATGGTGACCACTGACCTGTGTGTAGCAACAAGAGGCAGATCAGTTAAACATTCGATCACTCAGCAGCTGTTAATGATCTAATTGGGTGTCCTTATATATCATTAAATAAAACAATCTTATTAAGAGTAATTGGCTGTCTAGTTTCGTTTAAAGTGGCTAAGCAAGTGTGCGAGCACACAGACACTGCAGGCCAAATCTACAATAAAATCTCACAAAGGCTACTACATAAGCTCTAATCAATGTGTTGCACCATGTAAATGTTTTCTTGACATGTTTGGATTGTGCTTTTAAAAAGATGAGCTATATATACACATGCACACTCTTTAGGGACCAAAATCATACGGTTTCCTCCCTGAGCCTCCCTGCTCAGTGGTGACTCCTGACACTGGTTTCAAACACCGTGTTATTGGCTTAACATTAGAGTTGCATACATCATTTTATTTTTATAAACAGAAAATCAACCACACGTGCAACACCTTGAGGCAATACAGGTGCTGGATACATTAGTATGAGTACCTGTATTACCTTATAAATGTTAGATTGGTAAGGATATGTTGAGACTGAAACAGAAGTCTGTCCATCTATCCATCTATCCATCTATCCATCCATCCATCCATCCATCCTCCCATCCATTCATTCCTTAATGTATTCATAATCCCCTGGACACTGTTGAAGGGGATGGGGTGGGGGTAAAGTGAGGACGGGGTTAAAATCCCATTGGAACGTGCGCAGTTAAGTCCGCGGTCTCGTGCCGGAGGTTTCGCCGGTACAAGTGTTGGTACAGAGGTTGACTCGAGCCAAGCAGCGCGCGCGCTCTGGAAAGCTTTTAGGGTGTTTACTGAAACAAGGGCAGGAAAAAAAGCTGTTTTTTTCTTTTTTTTCATCTCGAGTACCGGGACGAAGTGAATGTCGCTCCTGCGCTCTGGGTGATAATGGGATCATTTTCCTTCGAAGACATCGAGCCATCAGATGTCTCCAGTGTTGGATTCCACTGTTTTGGAATGTGTTTGATACGCATTAACCTTGCTTTTCGACATCTCTTCCTCTTGGCTTGGCTTCACATTATATCTGCCAATGGAATATGTGGAAATGTTACCATTTGATTCCGCGACCTGTTCAGTAATCAAAAAGCTTGAATGATGGAAATCTTTTGAGATGATAAAAAGCACTTTTGGGGATCATTTTTTTGCTTGTGCGCGGCTCGTGCCTGATCGCGCGCCTCAGCAGCCTGTTGTCTGTGTCCGTGGAGAAACGCACAACTTTGCCGCGAGCTGGAGCCGGAGTTGGGGCTGCAGCGGCGGGTCTGAGCGCCGCACGAGGGCCACACGCAGGGGGCCAGGAGGGGGACCAACGGAGCGGCCCCGGTGTTCCGCCATTCTGTGGTTGGACGGGGAATCCGGTGCAGCTGTGGAGCGCGGATGATGAAGACGGTGATGATGATGATAACGAATGGCCCGGCAGCTCGAGCAGGCACCGGGGTCTTATGTTTACTGCTGTGCGCTCTAGTCTTTCTCCCGCCGTGCGCTCACTCTCACCCTCAGCCGTGCCAGGTGCTGAAACGGATCGGCCACACGGTTCGGGTCGGGGCTCTGCACGTTCAGCCTCGCTTGCTCTCCACCTCCACCGGCAGCGGTTCTGAGGACTGGGACAACGATCGAGGTTTTATTGGGAGCGGGGAGCGGATGGAGTTGGAAAAGCAGGTTAAAACAAGTGCCGGCGCGCCTGGATACGGAAGCCTCAGGACCAGAGGCACCGTTAACAACCAGCGGGGAGCCAGCAGGAGTAAGAGCCAGGCACGGCAGCGGGAGGAGAACACCTCGAGGGAGAACCGCGTGTTCGCACCCCGAGACTCGGTCCTGCTCGCGGTCGAGGCTCTCAACCGGGTCGGGCTGCTGCCATACAATTTATCCTTGGAGCTTGTCATGGCCGTTGGGTCCGGACTCGGGGAGCTGCCCGCGTTCTCCACCTCATCTGCGGGCAGCCCCGAGAGCGAAGACCCGCTGTCCTTCGTGGAGAGCGTGTGTCACACCGTGGTGGTGCAGGGGGTTTCCGCCATGATCTCCTTTCCACGGAACCGGGACGAGTTCGTCAAATTGGAGTTCCTCTCGCTTGCGCTTCAGGTGCCAGTAGTCAGCGTTGTGCAGAGGGAGTTTACGCGCAACAGTGAGGTAAAAAAAAAAGAAGTTATTCCTACATTACATCTCAACTACTGTTAACTGTTGATTACTGCACTTCGGCATACAGCTGCGGTGGCTGTTGCAGATGTTATGTAAAATAACGCATTGACTGGGACAAGTCAGTGGTTTCCAACAACTTATATGAGCACAAAGCAGTTTGATTTATACCTTTATTTCAGTTTTAAGACGTGAGTAAATGTGGATTCATGTGTCCCACGTCTACCCAGAGAGAAACACTTCCTCCTCCTGCTGCTGGTCTTTTTCCTCTTCTCCTCCTCCTGCTGTGTATTAGGTATTGTTTCAGATGAATGACATCACATTTTCTTCTCTTTTCTTGTTCAGTATTGATTTCACCTCTCTTGGTAAAATGGCCAGCATTAAGTGAAATTGTTGACCCAACTTGTGATATAAACCAATGTTCTTGATCTCCACATAAAGCATAATTAGTGAGTCTGACAAAAGCTGCAGTTGCTGAAAACTGGGACCAAATTAACGAGCTTGGAGAGGGAGAGCACAGCAGGCTCTGTCCATGGTGCTGAAATCTACACATAAGAAAAAGCAGAGGGAGTGTCTTTTCAGAAAATTAGGAGGGTGCATTCTTTCTTATTTAATAAATAAGGTTTCCAGTAAAAAAACAAAAAAAAATGATTGAAGGCTGTGTGCACCCAGCAGCACATGCCCTGAGGTATGAATGCACAAACAAACACTTTGCTGGAATTCAGCAGAAATTCATCACCAGAGAGAGAGAGAGAGAGAGAGAGAGAGAGAGAGAGAGAGAGAGAGAGAGAGAGAGAGAGAGAGCACAACAGTAAAGTGGAGGAGAATAACTTATTTGGAATAGCAACGCTAACCTCAAGTTCTACTTACATCTACAGCATTGCTCTGCTTCGTTACCTTACAAAAAAAGCAATGATAATCCCTTTATTAATTCATACATCATTTTCAGAATCAACTGTCATAATCATGCATTATGTTGAGATGTGATCAGATGGCTACGTCAGATGTCCCACACTGCTGAAGTGTTGAAGGCATTTCACTGCTTTTACAATAAAATCACCATTACTCTTCTCTACCTGATATCTCAAAGAATTCCTCAGCAAGATTATGTATGTACAGTTCTTTTAACCAAACAATATACCCAATTGGCAGGAAAACATCATTATACGACCTTGTGCATTAAAATATACAAGTGCTGCATCCTACGCATAGCAAGTTACCGCACCATGTGAAGTGATTGTAGCAGCTGCAGAAGTTGCTTGTTTAAAACCTCTCATCCACCCAAAATCATCAACTCAAACTGAGAAATAATTGATTGAGCTTTCATCTTAGAATGATTTTGGTGTGTAAACAAAGCTGCAACATTTTTGAGATATGTGGAGTTTGTAGGCAAAAGTGCCTACCAAAGTACCCATGTAACTGTTCCAAAATGACATAACATTTTCAGCTCTTTCCCCCTTATGGATCTAAGGTTAATGTTCAGCAACTACAACTACTCTGGTTTAGGTTTGGGAAAGGATCGCCTTCACGTTTGATGGAAATCAACCACGACGGTTCGTGAAGCTATTGTGCCAAATATTCCAATTGATAATTATCTGTAGAGTTCGCAGCTGGAATGAGAGTGAGAGAAAATTAGCTGAAAGTGTAAACACTCTAAATTAATAACTGGGATGGTTGATCAATAAGCTTTCTCTGCCGAGTGTGTGTGTGCGCATGTGTCTGTGGGGGGATGTATTTGTTTGTGTGTGCAGGTAAAAATCTCTCTCACAATTACAACCAGCCAGTCACAAACACAAAATTATTTAATGTTACTTTACACCGTAAACCTATTTAATTAGGTGGCACCAACAGGACCGTTATTGCATATCAATGAGCAGTAATAGTGTGTGTGTGTGTGTGTGTGTTTACTTTCCAAGCACAACCTTCCTGGGAGGGGTAAAGAGCATCATTGTTTTTTCTTTAGCACAAATATACACACACACACACACACACACACACACACACACACACACACACATTACTTTAGCTCAGTAGGTGGCAAGTGTCCCAGAACCCTTCAGTCTAACTAATGGTTCGAATGTGTGTGTGTGTGTGTGCGTCTGCGTTTCCAGGGTATTATCTAATTCCCTGCTCTGTGCACAAGGAAGCATTACACTGTTAGCAGTAAGCAGGTGTTTAAAGTCCAAACTGGTTTTTAGACGCAAAAGAGCAGGTATAGATATAGCACACAAACCAACAGATACAGATTGATTATTTGACGGATAAATAGACGTATGGCTGGATAAAAATGTACTTGGCAATAAATAAGCAAACAGACAGATTGTTCAGAACTCGTGTGTGACTTTTGGAGAGATGGCTTTAATCCCTTTCTGAATCAATCTAGTTTTGCCATTAATACCCAATTGAAGGCTGACAGCAATTTCTCCGAAACAGTTTTGAAATTGGGAAAACTATTTGAATGTCTTGAGAGGACCTCATTGGTGTTTGTTTGGTGACATTGTCTTGCCATTGCCTTGTGTTCTGCTCCTTAAGCTTTAGGTTCAACAAAGTTCCCTGTTCAAAAGTTTCTAATATATTGAACCTGTGAGCAACCCTTGACACAGTATGCCGGTCACATTATGTTATGTAAGTGTCGAAATGACGAGGTCGCATGAGAATATGGAGCTGATGGACCAAAATATAAAGTGCAGCTGAGCGCAAAGGGACTAGGTGGGTTGGGAGTAGGTGGTGAGTGGCTTTAGAAGCAGCAAAGGGTTGAGAATTTTGCATATTAAAAGAGCAGGGACTGAGAAACTCCCTGGGAAAGACCTGTTGTCTCTGATAAGAGGACCTAGTTTTCAAGTGGAAATCCATGCCATGCTGGCCCACAACCCTAGAGCTTTTGTGAAGTTAAGATACAACATCTTCATTGACAACTTGAAGCATATTGGCAAATGTTGGTTGCTGCCTAATCTAATTATGTACAAATGTATGGTCTTTGCATTAAAAATAAAAATGTTGCAGATGTTGCAGAAAAATGTTACAGATATTCCCATTATGTCGAAGGGCATATGTACAGAATGTTTTGACATTGGTAAAACAAAAAACAGACAGTGGACGTAAACGCAGTGCTCAAACAGAAAGGTCTTTGAGAAGCAAGGGTACAGTAGACCGAAGATCAGTCCAGAATAAAGCAGAGGTGTCCAAAAATCCCCATGCTAAGGCAGACTCGAACAACATGAAAAGCAAGGTCTAATTACCGCGAAGGAATACACAAGGAAAGACGGCTGAAAAGCTTGACAAGGAAGTACAAAGACGAACTGGCAAGAGACAAAGAGATTAAATATTACAGGGAAGGAAGAACAATAGCGAGGGACAGGTGACAGTAGGGCTAACGAGAGACAGGTGAGAACAATCAGGGCGGGGCAGAAAATCACGCAGGTGGGAAAGAACACAAAGGCATGAATCGAGGTTGTCTGCAACGAAAGAGGCGAGTATTAAAATAAAACAGTGACAAATTTACCAAGAATGAGCAAAATGTGAAACAAAGGAAAAGATAACCCAGGAGCCTGGCATATTATGACACATGTGGAATGAGTGTTGATGATATGGTATGGCAATTATTAGGGCTGTATTTAGTGGTGCTGTACATGGCTGCGTTGGTTTTAACAGTTGTAACCAGAAACTACATTAGAATCGTGTTTTTAGCAGGGCAGAGTTGATAAAGTGTAAATATGTCGCTGGCGTTTGAACAACTTCTTCATAGTTAGTAATCACAGTTAGTAATACTGTCTCACAATTGGGTCATATTGAGTGCCATCAAGCTGAATTTGTCAATAGGCTAGTTTGAGACGAGCCAGTCCTGCGCATAATCCATCACCGGCGATCGCCGCACAATGCATGCTGGTTAGATTTGTGTTTGACTTGATCCCGCCTTGCTCTGGTCAACGATAACCTCACGAGAGCGAGGCGGGCGCAGTTTTTAAAGCCAGGCGCCGCAGTTGCTTTTCACCGACTGCATGACCCAAGGCATGATGGGAAACGCCTGGCTGTCGCCAGATCAGAGAGCTGACTCTTAGATTTGACAACAAACACCACGTTTTGCAGAAAATCGTAATTTTCTCTGTAATTGTGAGATTTATCGCTCCATTGTTGGCTATTCATCTCATGTTGAACAACAAAGGTTTAATCTAAAATATATCTTGTGAGATTGATAATAATAACGCTCATTTATACAACTCAACGAACAGCAAAGTGTTTTAAAGACAGCCATGAAAAGAACAAAGGATAGAATACAATGCAGATACAGGCACAATTCCACATAAATATATATTTACAAACGCACATGAATGAATCCGAATGAGGTTTGTAAACTACAGGTAGTCTACAGATATGATCTAACAGGATGTAACTGTTTCTGTGACTTCCTGTTTATTCTTTGAAGGCAGCTGAAAACTGTCCGACTTGACCGCAGTTTTTTGTCAGCGCCCCCTGCTGCTGCCGCCAACTCTCGTCCACTTTCCAGGTGAGGCGCAGCTCATCTCGAAAGAGCACAATTAGCACTTTAATATGTGAACTCCAAATCATTGAAAAAAATGAACAACAACCACACATTTAAACTAATGTGAACATGTGAAATGCAGTTTTGAAGCAACGCGATCTCGTCCCTATTTGTCATATTTTGCTCTCAAGGCAGAAACCCCTGACGTCACTATAATGATGCGGGGGCAGATTATTTGGTAGTAGCTTTACGCAGAAGGTGTTCTTGTGGTTTTACATGTGGTTAACTTTATGAAACTGTGGCGGTTAGGTTAACAAACGTACGTGGTTTGGGTTTTAAAAAAAACATCATGCTATGGATAAGAATAAGTACAATTGTAACGTAAGGCGAGTTATGATCGAAAGGTATTTGACGTCAGTAGCAATCACTCAATCATTTCATACAGGACAAGACCGCCGGTCAAGTCCTGTTTTAGTTTGACCCATACAGCACCCCTCCCACAAAAGCTGGGTATTGTTTAAATCACAATGCCAGTATCATTACCAGTACACCTAACGGAGTACCGATTCCAATAGTCAGTTATCAGATTGGGCTGGTTTCCACCCGGATGTGCTACTTTTCATTAAGTTAGGCTGGGAAAGATAGCCTTGGGCTGGTGAATGAAATTTGGTTGATATGAGTTGTATTCAATCCTCGCTTGCGATAACAGAGGACCTTCCTACCTTGACTTTATCATTACTGACATTGACATGGGAATTTGTGTATTTGGTTGTCGTACTTCACTCTTTGTGGGTTGAAATAGCCTATACTCATCTTGCAGATATTTAGCTTAGTATGCTTATGATGTGTTTTCGCATGTAATGGTTTTACAATTTTACACGTGTTTCTGGCAAGTTTATGATTTGGACTGGTCTCTATTTTATTGGGTGGGTTTTTGAGTTGTGATTGGGCAGGAAACTGGCAATATGACCTGGCAACACTGAATGAAGAACTTCGTTTCAATACCCATCATGTGAATGGATGTTTGTCCCTCTGTGTGCATGCCTGCATTAAGACGCCGAGAGCCACTGCCCCAGCGCCGGTATTTGACTTCCTTATTGTGTCCAAAAATAAGTGAAGTAAAAGGCTATTTCAAGGTCATTTTGTTTAACCTCTGTCTTTCGGGTTGTGTAGCTGTGTTAGTCTCCACAAGCTTTAAATACCCACAGTGAGTTTAGGCTAAGGGGCAGTGGTGATGGAATGGTGATAGTAATAACTCAGAGATGGTTTTTGGAATGCATACTTTTACTGAGAAAATAAAGTAAATATCACACCCATGTGAGCCTGAGATTGTCTTTTCAATTAGATGCAGGTAAATTAATTTGTAGATTATGCTGATTAGGATATTGGAGTAATTATATCCTGACAATCTATCTAGGAAGATGAATGATAGGGCTTTAGTGACTATGAGGAGAGTTAATGGAGGATGTCATTGTTCCATCATAAATAACGCTGGCAGTGACACAAGGAGGCCAGTAGGATGAAAGGCTAAGAGCCATGGGTAGGTCTATGGAGTTAGGGGTTGGGCCGTAGGGAAGTTTTGCTGTGAAATCAACAATGTTGACAATAGTTGTTTTTTTAAAACACAGTTGCAACATATTGTTTTCTGCTAAAACAACACTTTGTCGAAATTATTGCAAGACGGGACAATTTTGTTTTTGTTAACTTCTGTGATCTTGTTAAAAAAAAAAAAGAAAACAGTCCCAGAAACCTAGAATCAGTTTTCACACTTTCCTCACAATGAATCATCTAATCAAGGAAAGATCAATACCGAGCCATTACTAGTTTACTTTGATTTGTCTACTGGCTCGAGATTTTGCCAGTCCCTGCAGTTTTACCAAAAAGCAAGGCTTGCGAGTTTCTTCACATAAACAAATAACAGCAAATGTATGTTTGGACAAAAAAAACAGATTTCTGAAGAGAGAAGAGTGATGAAAGAGAGCAGAGTGACAACAAAGCTGGGATTTCCCAGTTCGTCGAAAGCAGCAGATCTCTGTATTTATGTAAGAGAGAAGGCAGCCGCACATCCGGGCAAATTCCTGCCTGTTTATTTATATGAGGAACAAAGAGGGGGTTACAGATTTATGGTGATCACAGTGCAGACGTGCCACAGCTGAGAATAAATCCTCAAATCCTCCTTGGGGATGAGAGGAGGTGGAAGTCTGATGCCCTGTGGGCTGAATTACCATTTATTTCCGAGACTTCTAGAACTGCAGCAATAATACTTCTATGTACATGCCATAAGTGGAGGAACAATGCTTTCCTTATTTGGATGCCCATTGGGTGATGTGATGAATGAAATGAGTGAAATTAACCAATAGATTAATCTAATGGGCTTTTAGTGTAAAGCTTGTGGAAAAGTTGTAAAGTAAATTAAACAGAGAAGCTGAGGGCGTTTTTGAGTGTGTGTAGTTCTGCGTGTGTGAGTGCAAGACATATTGATTGCCTGGGTGACTGGTATGTTGAGTACAGTATATGCCAAGGTACACTGAAGCAGATCTGGCAGCCCAGTATTACAGGGGTGACTGTGTCAACTTTTAAATGTATCAGCTCTGATCTTCTGGCTCACTATAATCCTGTAAGTGCAATGCACTGCATGTGTAGAGTGCAGTAGGTTTGTACTGGTCTGATCATAATGGCACTGAGGGAGCCAGTGGACCCATTCGGTGGTTTTGCCTGCAGCCTATTAGTTACAAAGCATACATATTTATCATATTGTATTACTGTCAACAATGTTATATAGCATACAATATGTTTCAGAATAAAATGTCCAACCTTTCAGAAAGCATTTTTAGTTTAGTTTAGTTTAGTGAGGTATGAAAATGAGTGCTTGGCTTGGTTTAGTCAGGTGTATTTAACAATTGTTTCTGGACACCTGATGAATCTGAGTCCAAAATTCCCACTTGGCTGTGCTCAGAAGGATGACTACAGAAGCTGTGCTGTTCGAAGTCACGTTCAGTAACATTTGATCACGTCTTGTCATTTAAAAATGATTAGTGGGCTATGAGCTGTTTGATTAATAAAAAATTGTCTTTCATCAAAGCAGGAACATTAGCCCACAATCAACATTGCAATGTTTATGGATAGGGACTCAGTGAACTGAGAGAAGCGTATTTCCACCCACAAATCATCCCCTTACCGGGATGAATGTAGTATAATAAAAAAAAAAAATTTTTCAAAAAAGTATGCTGATAAATTACTGTAATTTGCGGCTATGGTTACCTGTTAATTTACATGGAAAGGATGAACATTCAACTGTATGTTACAGTTATTATGAAATATTGTAAGATACAGTTGTGAATCCACAGTAAATTTACAGCAATTCATTACAATATTTTGGTCAAACAACAGGTTTTGCACTGCAGGGGCTTGCGCAGGCGCACTGATCGCTTGCGTTGCTGGACATTCCTAGGAGGACACTCAAAAAATGAATAAAAACTCTTCGAAAGATATCTTACAATAGATTTATACTCTTGGATTGATTCTTGTATTCGTGATGGAACTTGAACTTGAGAGCAGCTATTGCCTCATAGAAACACATAGTTGACAGCGCGTACATGTGTGTCACAGTTTACCATGGTGATTGGGGCAAATGACATACCTTTGGAAATGACGGGAGCTATCGCACCTTTGTATTTGAGATACATCTCAAATGTATCGCTATCACTTGCATCATTTCTGTCTTTGAGATACATACCTTTGTTTGAGATACGTCATTTCTGTATTTGAGATATACCTTTGTTTGAGATATATACCTTTGGTACGTACGTCTGTATTTGAGATAAATACCTTTGGAAATGATCAGAGATATCGCTCATTCACCATTCCCGATCAGGCCGCACGTTTTGATGTATTTTTTGCGCAGGTGTTGGCAACGCTGTGGGACGAGAAGCACTGCAAACTTTTGTACTATTATTTTTACTTATTATTAAGCCCGCAGGATTACAGTCAGTGTGCTGTGCATAAGGCTGTTTTACAGCCTTTGTGCCACACTGAATGAAGGTAATCTTTCCAGAAGGATTATCTATCTCAAGCAAATTCAGAGATTCTCCAAAGTGATTCAACATACTGAAATTAAGTAAAACCAACTGTAGCCCGGAAGGTGGGAAATCAATCTATAAAGGTTATATAGTGTGGAAAATGTTCAGCTGCAATGTAGAGAAAATAACTTGATGTAATTCTGCCTGTATGGTCCTTAAACGGGATCTATTGTTGTTCTCTTCTGAAGCCTGAACTGGCCAATTTAAAACAATACTGACAGAAAGCCCATTTCCCAAACTACAAGACAAGCAAGCACTCAGCCTCTTACGTAATACAAACTATAGTTGGGATCCATTTTTATTTCAGAAACCCAATAATGAAAAAATACTAATCTCTATATTTGGTGAAGATACTACAAAAATGTATTTTGAAAATAAACAGAGCATTTTGTAGATTTATTGAGCATTTAGCATTGATTAGGTGGGTGGTTTTCATCACCACTAGGAGACCACACTTTTATCATTACTGGTCCAGGTGGAAACCACACACCATTGCTGTGCTCTACCCATTGATCTGTCCAGACATCATCAATCAACTGATGAATTCATGAATTGCAAAGCAGAGTTGGGAATTATATCACACGGAACTGACCAAGCATAGTATGTGAAAGGCCCAGTTGAGTTTCTTCAACTTTCTTCAAATGCTCTTGAGATAGATGTTGTGTATTTCTTATGATGTGAATAATGATATTCATGGGAGCAGGTAAGTGGAGGCTGAAATCCATTATATCCCGCTGAATGTATTTGTTCTCGAGGAGAAAATTGAATTCTTAGACAGAAAGTAACTGCTGTTGGATTTATGACCTTTCTGTCTTTCTTTCCTTACCTTTTTTCTTCTATTCTCTGCTCTACTAAATCTGTTTCTCCTTCCTGGTGCCCCATAAAATCGCCCCCCCCATCTTCCTTAATGTTGCACCGAACCTCCTCCTGCACCATCCTTCCATTGTCCTTGTTTTGCCTTTTCTCCATTTCATTTGTATCTTTCTCCTTTCTCGCAATCTACCCTTTATTCCAAAAAACATCCTATAATGTCTTTCCCCTATCTCTCTGCCCTCTATTAAATCCAACTGACCCTCACCAATCCTTTGTCCCCCCCCCATCACTACGTGTTAATCTTCCATCACCCTTACATTTCCATTCCCTTTATTTCTTCCTGTTTATTTTTACAATGGCCCCTCGTCTGTATCCCATCTCTCCAATCCAATATGCCTGATATCTTTACCATTCATTTTTCCATTTCTTAAATGTTACTCACCCTCTCCCCTTGTACGTTCATTCCCCTTTTTTTCCCTTTCCCAATTCACTTGCCCATTCACCCGTTACCCTTTTTCAATCTCTCCACAGAATCCTCTCCATTTCCAACTGGCGATGCGGACCGTGGAGGCCCCACCATCCCGGCTCCTCTCTACCCTGCTAATGATGAACGGCTGGTGGGATATCAGTATTTTGCTCTGTCAGGATTGGGACATTAGCGACTTCCTCCTCCTCATCAACAACAGCACTCGCTTCCACTTGGGCGCTCTTGTCAATCTGACAACTACCGCTTCAACCTTGTCATCGGTCTCATCTTCATCAGGAGTGGCATCAGATGTGGCTACAGGAGCTGAGGCGTCTTCATCATCTTTGCCTTATTTCTCCCCTGCTGCCTCATCCTCTGCTTCTTCGTCCACTTCCTCCTCCAAATTAGACCAGCAACAAGCTCTCATGCGGCAGCTGGAGGCCTTGAGAGAACCTTCATCCACAAAGAGTGTGGTGACATTTGGGTGTGAGATCCGCGAAGTGCGGCGTCTGTGGACGCTGGCCAGTCGGATGACGCTCCCAGAGTTTCACTGGGTGTTGGGGGACAGCCAAAATGTGGCCGAGCTGAGAACAGAAGGGCTGCCACTGGGGCTACTGGCACATGGGGTCATGGAGGCCCCTTCTCTGGATCACTTCGTACACGACTCATTGGAGCTAATCGCGCGGGCTGTGGGCAGTGCAGCCAAAGAGAATCCTGCTCTAGCACTCATACCTGGGACTACTAACTGTATGGATATACAAAAGAGCAACAGCAGCTCAGGGGAGTACTTGTCAAGGTAAGGAATCATGTGGATACTTAAGTCACATTTGCACCTACACATTCACATAAAATCAAATGCAATGACCACAAACTCTGAGAATGCATGTTGTTGTCAATGATTGATGATTTTATGATCTTGATGATGTTCCTGCAACATAAAAAGGATTGTTTCAGCAACGTGGAATACCATTGCTGCATGGCTGCTAATAAAATAAACACATTATTTGGCAGCATAAACAACACTGGAAAATGATTTTGATAGCGTTAAAGGGCTTTACTTATGTTTTCAGCTATTTTCTACAAATCACACAGACTTAGATCACAGTTAACCATTTTGTAGTCTTGTTTTCAAAATTTGAATGCTTATTTATGAATCCCAGGCATCTCTTAGTCTCCACTTTTGTTTATGGGTAGCAAAGCCTTTGGCGATTTAAACCTGGCCTGGAAACATGCTGTGAACACAACACTGACGTATACCTTTTAAGTTGATATGGCAACCCCTACCACCATACATAGTGAATACCTATTACGTGAGTATGGACAATGCACAAATTGTCATTAAATCTCACTGACTGACCTGAAAGAAAAATATTTTCGGTGTTTTTATAGCTTTATAGAGAAACTCTTGCTTGATTTTTGTATTGTCCCCAAGATGGCAAACTTCCACATGTAAATAAATGATTATTCAGTGTGTCAACCACGTCTAGTGCAACACTGATGCCCTAATACTCTGCAGGTGCTTGCCCTGTGTGTTTCCCAGTGTATGCCTTTATATTCCAGGCATATAGAGCAAAAAAAGAATCAGGCATTGTGAGCTACTTGCTAACCTTGTCTTTGTGCTGTAAAAAGTTGGCAAGGAAAGTGAGTTTTCAGAGCAATTTTGCTGAAAACAGCTGCCGGCCGCATTCCAAATCCTGGGTCGTCTCCACCCAACAGCCCTCATTCTCCTTCCCACCCCTCGCACCCTCTCTCTCCACAGTGCTGTTCACGTATGTGATTCAGCCTTTTCTTTCGACTTTGTCTTTGTTGTGGTATAATGTACTTCTCTCCCATCATGCACATGTTTTGGCCACAGTCCAGCAACGTCAATTTGGAATTCGCCATGGAAACACACATTCATACACATCTACAAAGGTGGATGCATGAACAAGTAAGCAGCCTATTCGAACAATATATACAATCAATATGTGCAGCAGTGTAATAAAATGACAAGGTGCGATGAATTGCATTTAGCTGCTCGACTGTGCATTACATGCTGCCTTTATTTTGATACCAAATTTGTCCAGTGTGTTTGGTATATATGGTGTTAAATGCAAGCAGACATTCATCCACAGCCATGTGAGGGCCCAGATTGTGAAGAATAGGTAATTGCTGGACCCACTTTTCCCATACATCTTGTATTGTTTGTCACAAAGCATATGACGCAAGAGAAAACATGGAATGTCTTCAGAGACTGGTAATCTGGCAATCTTGCCCTTCCAGTGTCAGCATTCCAAATGCTCGCTGGTGCTTCCCCTTTTTGAAACTCCTCTGCCAAACATAGCAGCACAATCTATAGCTTGCAAGTGGGTCACATCCAGGTCAACTGTCAACCGTTCAAGTAGGGAGACAGACATGATAACCTTTCATTTTTGCAAGGTATTGTATCTTCTCTGGCAGGCTAAGGGAGAGCAGAATATGATGGTTACAACATCAACCCAAGTGTCTCATTCCCATCAGAGGAGGACTTTGTCTTCCTGCTTTGGGGATTGTGCTCGGGAGCATAGTGTTTTTTTTAGAGCCATTTTGCTGAAATAATCTGCATTTAAAAACCTAGGTCATCTCGACCCAACAGCCCTCATTGTGCATTGTGGAATAATGTACTTCTCACACATCGTGGAGATGTTTACTCATACTTTAGCTGCTACGTCAGTCTGGAATTCGCCACAGAAACTCATATTCATACTCATTTGCAAAGGTGCATGTATTCACAATCGTGCGGCACATTCTAACGCCCATTATATTCACTCAATAACTGCAGCAGTGGGGTAAAATGATAAAGTGTGAGGATTTGCATTTAGCAGCAGCGTCGTAATCTGCAGCTGGGCCACTCTACTTTTTAGAGCTACAGTAAGATGTGAACGATGAATGAGTGTGTGATCATACACCACTGTATTACCATAAGAGTGTGACCTTTTCTACTGAGATTCTCCTCAAAACATCTGATTCAGCAGATCCCCCAGGAGGAGAAGTGTTTGAACGTGATGAACATATAGAAGAATGGAGGAGATTTTTGATTGCGTTTTTTCATGTCTTTGGTTCATTTTAAGCTGTTGTAAAGTGTTGATTAGCCTGCCAGTGTTTTACTTATCACAGAACGAAGAACACGTGTTACAGGACCTTTTACCAGGCCCTGTTGTTGACCCTGTGAAGGCAAAGGATTTACCCGAAGAGGTTTCGTTTCCCAAACTTTGTCTGATCCAAGCTGTTATACACACCTGAGATTTGGAAAAGTCAGCCATATGCCTGGTTCAGGGAAAGCTATATAAATTAGATAGTAATATATATGATACTGTCACCAGCTGGAGATGCTGGAGAAAATGAAAGGATTTAGGTTTCTATGTTACCTGCAAAGATTAAAAAAGGCTATTTTTTTTTTATTTCATTTTGTCAGAAATGTTATTCATTTTTTTAGCAATTCAGTTTTTGTAGAGCCGTGGGATTGTTTGGACTGCCCCATCGCATTTCATGCTGCAGAGATTAATATATGTTGACTTTTTGTTCTTTTTCCAATTTCCGTATGTCTCACCAGGTTAGAAAGATTGGCGATGAATTGAATCGGTGTTGTGATCATCATCTATTACCATTAACTTCTGTTGCGCACTCTAACAATTTTATTGATTTCCTTTTCTTTTTTAAATGAACTTTAATCTGATTGTGGACACAGTGTGGTTTAGTTGTCAGATACAATGATCTGTCGCCTGTCTGTTTTTACAGCCCGAACTCCCAGGCTGCCAAATACCGACTCTTTGTTATGCCCCTCGACACTGATATTGACGCACATGGCACCCTTGGGTGACTTACTTATTTACGTACTTTTGTTTTTCTTAGGGTAAGGGTTACCTACTTACCTTAAGACTAAGATGTTTTTTTTTCTAAAACTAAATGGATGACGACAACTTTCTAGAAAGTAGAAACCAATGTTTTTGTTGCTTCCAATATACTTTTTAAAAAACTACTTCATATATGTCTACTGTTTTCTACTAAGCAGGTGCCATGACAAGTCATGATATTGCACACAATGACTGAGGGCAAAAGGGATGTAGACTACCTGAGGGAGAGTAAAAGATACCAACGAGTTGAGTGTGTGGGGAAGGTTCTTGGAGTACCGGAACCGGAAATTTGCACATGAAAGTTTCTGAAAGTCAGACTTTATATATTTTGAAAGCAATTTTGACTTATTTTTGTTTCAGGGCTGACATTAGACACTGGAGGTGCTCTGATACATTAAAGTTTGATATGATCCTAGAATAATGCTATGTTTATTAAGTCTGAGATCAGCTGGGATCTGGAGATCAGATAGAAGGCATATGATGAGATTTTAGAGAGGTCACAAAAACCCTCAAGCCCCAATTATGTATTTATTTATGAGATATTAAAGCTTAAAACCTTGTTTTTCTGAAACACAGTGCAATTTCATATATAATATGATATCACGCAACAACGATTCTGCGATACTCAATACATTGCAAGACAATCATCTACTATACATCATGATATCTGTGTACCTGAGAACTAAAAAAAAAACCCTAAAAGGCAGAAATGATGCATTTATTCACTGCACTAAGTTGAAAGAATATACAACAAAGTGCATAGAGTCTTTGCTTAGGGCCTCTTTTATACACACAAACACGCACTGACTGCAACTTGTTCATCATTCTAATGTAAAATAGCCATAAACTTGCAAAAGGCTGCAAACCAGAAAGCAAAACAGCTCTAAGGTTAAAATGGAAAAGGAAGGATACAAATATGTCTTACTAAAATATTTCTAATGTAATTTGACAACTATATCTTTCAAGGAACTGTATTATTCAGGTTTATCACCAAAAACTTAATTCTACAAGATTACATTCAAACAAATCATGATAACGTCATCATTTATGTTTCATTACTGTGATAAAACAAACGACAGGCCGTATTTGTTGGGTTGACCATCACCGAGAAAATAAAAACGTTAGTAATGGTTTCTTCATAGGACCTAGAGTCGGACTCTCCGTGACCCACAAGGTTCTCGACTTGGAACAGCCACTCGACCTTTGTGCTCAACACTCTAGGGACACCAGAAGTAGGGGTATAGGAACTAGGAAAGCCTCTGGCCCGATTTGGCTTCACAGCCGGTGAGATGGTCTCTAGTTAGACACTACATTTAAAAAATCATCAATCCAGAAACCGCCAGCTCAGCGGTTATATGTCATACATGTTGTTTTTGTAGAACCAGAAATGTGTCTTTTGCAGGTCTTGTTAACATTCTGGCAAAGATTAAGTTCATTTAAAAAAATAAGATTTTCTTACAGAGAATGGGTGTTTCTCAAACACTGATGATAACCAATTATCTTAAATCCATATGACCGCCCTATAGTGACAACTTATTGTATTGTGCAAGAAAGTAAATGAAGTCAGTGACGTTATTATTAGACCTATAAGGAAAGGAAAAGATGAAAAGACTGAAAAAACACCTCTTGAAAACCATTAGAGGTGAAATAGGGAACTTTAAAAGATGGCCCCCTCCTGACTTTTTCTAGAATAGTTTGTGTAAAAATCGCTCGCATTACATTGTACAAAACTCAAATTAGTTAGTCAGGTTAAACGTTCAAACTTTCTTTCATTTGTTTCTTTTCATCGTCAGTATTTTCCAAGGTTTAGGGCTTATGACCTCTGAAAACAAAGCATTATAGTCATGGCCTCTTTTCACAGGTTGTATATGTATACAAGTTGTGACCAGGATGCAAAAGAGCAATGTCCCCTTCACAAAATGAT